CAAGGTGGAGCAGATAAGAAACCACCAATGTCATGGTCGATCTGGAACGCTCCAATACCTCATAAAGTGGCAGGGGTATCCGGAAAGTGATAACACCTAGGAACCAGCTGACCAGGTACACACACGGACCTCCTGAAAGAATATCACAAACGCCAGCCCTTGAACAGCATAAAAGGGAAGCAGAAACCCCCGGCTCTAAACAGAATCACCCACTTCCTTCATCACAAAATAGCTCACTCAAAGACATGTCCTCCCCAGCCCCGCTTCCCATCCCTCAACCAACAGAACGACAACTCCCTGGCCAGTTTGAGCCAGAGGAGCAGACCAGCCTCATCAGGGATAGCAGAGAGGGATCACACATCCCTGCCGAACTCAGAGGACCCACGATGGTCAGACCCATCCCCACGCACACCATCACCATCCCAGGCCCCATGCATGACCTCGAGACTAACGCCCACTGGGATGGACCCCTGTCCCCAAACATGGTTAAGGCCATCGTTGAGGGGAATGAGCACCTCACCCCCAACCAACTCTGGGCCCTCATCAAGGGACTCTTTGCCACCATCCAGGAACGAGAGAAGCATTACCAACAGGGAGAGGGGCAGATCAAGGCACAACTCAACCAGGCTAACCAAGAGTGCCTTGAGCTCAAGGCACAGCTCGATGCCATCACTGGTGAGCCTCTCAAATGTCCTGTCGGCTTTGAGGAGAACAATGGGAGGCTCCTGAACTTCACCATCCCTACCCCAAACGACGGAGAGCAGCCTGCCTGCTTTATCAAGCAACTGGACGATGGAAGGGTGGCAGGTCTCACAGGGGAGGCCTGGGGCAAGCACGATGCTCGCATTATTGACCTATTTGCCCAGCCAGACCTTGACGAGTGCCCCCTTGAACCCCTCCCCGCATGGTTTTGCACACGACTTTGGGGGGACTCCACTGACTTCCACCCCCTCCACGAGGCCGTCATCGCCCTTGATGACTGGGGTATCTTGGCAGAGATCCTCCAATACTGTGTCCTCGACAAGGAGACTGCGGCCCTTCAGGGCGAGCTTAGGATGGCTGAGGCAAGTTTGGCAGCAAGTATGGCCAACAAGGAGGCATGTGAGGACTGAATCATTGCTGCCAGAGTGGCACAGAAGATCTGACATGTGGGAGTCAACTGATTCTCACTGCAGCTCGCATGACAATCTGGATGGAAGAAGGTAGGACGAGGACGTCCTATGTAGCAGAAGGGTGATGTAACCAGCCTTGGGTGGACATTCAACTGTCCACACCCATGTAAGTTCTGCAACCAGGCAAAAGTGTTTGCGCCTCCTGTACTACTATCACATGCGACCCTAGCTTGTATGGGTCTAGATTTTTTTTGGTTATCCCTTTGTTCCCATTCCAGACCCCCTTTGTACCACTGTTAGGATCCCCCTTTGTTCCCGATATTGCTATTACCCCGATTGGCACTTGTCCCCTTTGGGCCCTAGGCAACCTTTTACTATAAATAGTCAACTCCTTGCACCATGTACTAGCAAGTTGAGTCTCTTGTCAATATACAACAAGTGCTCTTCTCCATATGCCAGAGTGGCCATTGCGACACACTGCAATAGGCAGGAACTCTTCCTCTCTTCCATTGTCAGCCATAGTCCAAGTCATATCACGACTTGGCTCTTCCACTCATATTGGTCTATTTGTCCCTACCAAGAAACCTTGGCAGTGACATATATAGTGAAGTGTTATTAAGTTGATTGATACCAGTAGATACCAGTACATATCAGAATTATATATATCTGTGGATTGTTTATTGATATCAGTAGAATATGTCAGTGAAGTTTTGCCATACATATAGTATATGCAATGCAGTTGATCACCCTCGATCATATACCCATTTAAGTGTGCACCATGCACATCTATTTCTTTTTATTACATCTCAGCCAGGATAATCACCTTATAATAAACTTATAATTGGATTGTAATCTATCTAAAGTTTGATTACAAGGCTTAAGACAGTAGATAGATTATTTATAAGAAAGCAGGGGTTTGGGGGCACAGCCCCTAACAAGGTTAAGTCCCATGCCATAGGCATGGACATAACCTTGTATGTATGTATTTCTCATGGCCCAGCCAGAGTTGTCATCACTTCTCCCACCCTACTTTACACACCCTCTATGATGCTCTTGCCACCCCAGACTACTGTTATGTTGCCTCAGCTACTTAATAAAGTACTTACACTAATCTGCCAACAGTCTTTGTGGCCTTTCTGCCACTGAAACATGTCAATTGCTGCCAGAAACTCTGCCTAAATAACTTGTGTATAAATACACTCTTAGAACTAGACCAAAGCCTTAAGCTTGGTCTCTTATGAATCATAGACTTCTCAAAGCAATCCTCTGAGTGATCCTAAGCTTAGAATCCCTCTTCCCCTTTCCACTTGTGCCCTAGAATGTACCCTAGTGTAACCAGCCTGGGGTGATGGTTCAACACCATTGCGCCCCTGTAAGTTGCGGAACCGGCCAATTAGAGGATTTGTGCCCTGTTTCATGTTTGTGCCCCATTTCATGTACATCAGCTTGTGATTTCTTGAGTGTCTTGTGCCATTGGTCGTTATTGTCTTGGTCGCATAAATAGGTAGCACTGCCCCCTCAGGCCCTAGGCCTGCCCTCAAGTACTCTGTACTATATATAGGGGACTCATTACACCTGGTAGAGGCAAGTTGAGTCTCTTGTCTCAATAACAAGCAGTGTTCTACTTCATTGCGGGTGGCTACTGAGTCGGAGCTCAGCAAGCGGTAACCTGGACATCGACATCGACATACATGACGACCTCATCTCTACAAGTCTTCTAGACCACTTCGAGGTCTAGCTTATCATCTTAGTGTGTCTATTGTTGCTGTCAAACCCTTGGCGGTGACACCTAGGGTCTGCTAGGCAACTTAGTGACACATCTCACTTAATCTACCATATATAGTAAACTGAGTCCCAATTAGGAACTCTTCAAACTCCAATGCATATGTTCAGTGCTCAGACATAAACATTAACAATGCCACCTGTCTACAGCAGAGGGATATCCCAGACAAACTAACCACCTGACAGAGAGAACAAGCAGCCAAGCATGCTGCCAGACAGAAACTTCAACAGACCAGCCACATTCTGTCTAGCATAACAGTAAGTGAGCACAAAGTGCAAGCAATCCATGCCATAGGCATGGACATAACCTTGTCAACTTCAAAAGTAATGACTTGTCCCAGATTTGACTGGACTGGTCAGGCTTACCTAATTGAAGCTGTGACTTCAACTTTGTCACAGGCTTTGGTCAGCTCAAGTCATTTTTTTTGTTAATCCAGATTTTTATTCTATAGCATGTACAGAGAATTTCACAGACACTGTGCCATAGCAATGCCAGATAGCATCCATCTGACACAAATCGTAGGGACAAGGCCTGTCAAGCAATAGCTTGTATGTGTGCAGAGAAGAATGATCCCAATTTGGCCTTCAGGACAACCAATCAGTCACGAGGGTACCTCGCTCGTGGATGCCGAACCATCGTTTCTCGACTTGGCCTTCCAAGCACGATTGATGCTGGAGTAGCAATGAGGACATAAATGGTGCGCGAGCTTTGGTGAACCACATCCAGGACAATGAACCAGGTCTGCACGATCGTTGAGGGCATGATAACACTTTCTAGAAATGTTCACTCACTCTGTTTATCTTTGAGGCCCTTGTTTGCACTGCGCATGGCTTTCCGAGAATGTGAGACTTTCTTTTTAGGTACGGCCAAGAGGAATGGGGGGATGAGGTCGCGGAGGGAAGGTAGGCGCGGTATTGACCATGAGAACCCGAATATGATGGACGAGGACGAGGCAAAGAGAGCAGAAGGTATTGCGACGAGTTGACGAGGAATAATGGCAGCCATGACTGACAGCAGCAGCGTCTGAATCAAATTCGTGACCAAGACACACACACGTTCGCGTTTGGCGTGCATCTATTTCAACTCCGACGCCGCAAAGTCAAGTGCGAGTGCCGGACACTTCATCTCACACTGTACAGCCAGGCGAGCAACGATGCTCCGATTCACGCGACCACTGCTTCAGGTGTCCAAGTTAACCACTGGACTCTATGGCCTTGCCGTCCATCCCAACCCACTCCCGGAGCTGACCAGGACCTACGAGTCCACCCTCGCCGCGCTCTCATCCATTCCCGAGCATGCCGCATATCGTCAGGGCGCAGAAACCCTCACTTTAAGAAAATTGAAGATTGTGCAGGATGCGAATGGAGACATCGCCGAGGTCGAGAGGCAGTTGGACGAGGGGCAGATCGAGCAAGCCATTTCGATCGCCAAAGACGAACTCAGTTTGGTGGGAAAGATGACGGAATGGAAGGCGTATGTCTTTCGCCTCTTCTCTATCTATATAGCGGACTAACTATAAGCAGATGGGAGCCTCTGGAAGAGAAGCCAGAGGCTGGACAGTGGGAGTACTTTGGCAAAACTTCCCCTGCGTCTTAGAGGTGTTTCATCGGGCATCGTACTCTAGATGATGGCCAGGCAACTGGTTATGTGTAGCTCCCAGAGAACATGTGCAACATGCATACCTCAGCGACCTCTCACCGGAGAGCTCACAACGCTATTGATATCAAGTACTAGACTGTTTACGAAAGTAATGTCCTTCGTCTTCCAACGCGGTGGTTGTGCGACCTGTTGCCTACGAGTTGTTGCATCTGTAGACAAACACAAACGACGATATACAATTACTTTTTGCCCGGAGGAAGTTCACCGAGATGTGGAAAAACATCATCTGGATGACTAGTGAAGGGCATCGTGAATCATGCAACCTCAAGGTTACACAGTTCACTGCATCCATCGGGGGGATTTTGCACACTATCGAGGATACACATAATGAATATGTCTTGTCATGCGAGCTAGTTATGACATTGTGTTAAGAGTTGAGATGGCCACACTGTCGAGACCACGAAGGCATGACCGTCGACGCCGAAGGAAGAAGGTTTAAAAAAAAACGCTGACAGCAGGATTTGAACCTACGCGGGCAATGCCCAAGTGATAGTGAATCATTGCATATATATAGGAACATATATATGGAATGGGGTTCAAATCACTCGCCTTAACGACTCGGCCATATCAGCACATTGCCACAACTATAAAATGAGCAGTCATATATGGTTACCCTGCATTTCCGATGATACATTGAGGAGACGAAGAGTAAAAATGACTTGATTGCGAAAAGAAAGGGACTATGCAGAGTTTTCACATGATCATGATCATGACCTGCATGAAGTACGCGATGAATTTTGGATTAAGAACCTGCCAGTCGTAGTGGCTGCCCCGCACCTTGACTTGGTTCGATCGTCATTCCCGTTCACTCACTTCACTTGCGTCTCTCCATCAACGTTCCACTCACCACACGCTCGCCGGAACACAGTCGCGACTGTGACCCATGGATTCCCTCATCCCATTCACGACCTCCGGCTCCCTCGTAGACTGTGTGGACAGTACGTCTACCCAAGCCCCGCTGCCTGTGCTCAGTCGGGTGCATCTTCGCCCCTATTCTTCTTCTTCTTGTCCCCCCAGGAAAGATGCTCGTCGTCCTGCGAGATGGCCGGAAGCTTCATGGCGTGCTGCGCTCCTATGACCAGTTCGGTACGTCTTTTCACTTTCTCTCTCCGTGAGATGTGCGAGCCCAAGTTTGAACGTCTGCAATCTTCCCCTCCCGGTTAGCGAACCTCGTCCTCGAGGACACTGTGGAACGAATATACGCCGGCAACACGTTTGCTGAAAAGTGGTGTGGGCTATTTCTCATTCGAGGGGAGAATGTTGTCCTGTTGGGAGAAATTGTGCCCTCTCTTTCTCCCTCTCATATGTCGATGATTCACGATTACTTGACAGGATCTGGATCAAGAAGACGACGTCCCACTACATCCAGTCGATTACAAGCAGCTTGATAGTTACTATCGACAAGATATCGCAGTGAAGAAGCAGAGGGAGGAAGCAAAGGCGAAGATCTTGTACGAGCAGAAAGGGTTCTGCAAGGAAGGAGGGGAGGGAGATGGTTATTGAGGTACATCACTATCGAGTCCCCGCTTTCCGGCAGATTCATTAAGCCCTAGTGGAAGCGGGGACAGTCACCAGTTGTGGATTTCACTCGCAGATCATCTTATCACACGATTGTTCCAAGCATGCTTGGTCTGCGTCTGGTCTGATCTGGAGAGATGCTAACAGCAAATGGATCTGGGTACAGAGGAACCTACTCCTTCCTTTTCTTGCCCTTCTTTGTCTGATCTCCGTTGGGCCTGTGCTTCGCCTGTCCATTGACAGCCGACCTTGATAAAACAGAGACCCGGGGTGAAGAGGGTTCGAGTAACTTTGCTTTGTCGAGATGAGCATGGGGGTCGAGGATATCCTCGACGCGTTTCCGAATCTCGCGCTCTAGCTTCGTTAGCTTCTGTAATGCCTGGTCCTTCGTCTCTTTATCAAACTCGACATCCGCAACGCGCAACTTCTGCCAACTGAGTTCGCCCATAAGGTCATCAGCGCCCTGACCCTCCCCGTAAATAATAATTGATAGACCCACCCTGAATGTCGATCACACTTCTTTTTACCCATGCACCACCATTCTGCCTCCTCTTGCGTCCCATCCACGTCCGTTTGAGCATGATTCTCTTCATAACTCTCTAGCACACCTGCACCAAAATCGGCCACCTCCTCCTCGCCAAAGCACAATCGTTGATCCCATCCACACTGCTCGATTGTGTCTGCGTGTTGTATTGCGAGCTCGGTGACCTTTTCGCGCCATGCGATAACGTCCATCTCAGCTTTCAGCGCCTCGCGCTTCTGGACCAATGTTTCGAGACGCGCCCTCAGCCTTGAAAGTTCGCGATCTGCCTTGCTGATCTTCGGCGGGATAATAGCCAACACGGCTTGATCACCCATAGTTAGAGGTGAACGACTTTGTCCCTCCACGGCGCGTGCTAACACCACGACACCCTCGCGCCTTTCCGCATTCTTCACCGTCTCCCAGAGTCGATCACGATTCCCACCGTTCTCTACCCAGAGTGATATGCGCATGTGCATATATTGCACACCACATTCGTCGGAGCAGTACTTGGAGAAGGCACCGCGTGCGGGCCTGTGACACGCTTCAGGTGAATTTGGGTCGTGCTGCTTGAGCCCGTTCAGGCAGCGACGTTTCCAGGTGGTGCGCAGATTGAGATGAGGATTCTCTGAACATCGATCGTATCCACAAATTAGTTAGTATGGCATAGGTCAAGTATCGGGCACACGCACTTTCCACACAAAGTGGACAGATGAATTGGTCGACGAGGTCGATTTCCAGGTCTGGCATGTTGACGCATGATGTGTGATACCACTCGTCGCAGCTGTATAGGGAGTTAAGCATAAAAGTAAACTGCAATCATTGCCAGTGGCGTACCGGTCGCAAGCGATCATGACCCTCTCATCATCATACCTCGTCTTGCAAACACAGTATAGCTTGTCCTCCATCTCCTCTTCGGCGTCATCAAGCTCCGCCTCACCCGTTGTTCTATTCTCGACGCTGGGAGCGGGGGTCATGCTTACGGGCATAGCTGATGTCGATCTAGAGCGCGCAGAGATGATTGATTTCTTTGTTACAGTAGATGATGACTTCTTGCTTTTCGATGGCGCAGTCGAGGGACCGTCGGAGGACACCTTAAGCTTCGTCTTTGCTGAACCGCTTGGTTTGACGCGAGTTTTGGGCTGTGCATGCTGTTTTGTCTTGTGGAGGTCAGAAGGACGAGCAGAAGGCCAAACACTGATTGAATTACCTTTTTTTTCTGAGTTGGACGCTCTTCTGGTCTCAGGGTGCTCATTTCGGAATCGCGAGCGGCCACGGCGGTATCTGGAGAAAGCATTGAGGCCCTTTCCAGATTGACAGCAAAAAAAGTCGGAGCAGGCGATGGATGCGATGGAGTCAGTGATCCGAGGGCGGACTCTTGAATAGGAGGAGCATGATGAGAAGGGGGACGTTTATCTTCGGATGAAAAGCGATTTTGTTTCCTTGATATAGTCTGTGGGCTACGCGACGGTAAATCGTCAGCAATGAGGCTAAGAAGTTCTTCATCAACATCCATGTCTGCATGGTTTTGCTCGGTAACCTGACTCCGTTTCGAATCCATTGCAACATCCTGCTCAGAGGCAGCCTCGCTTCTGATACCGTCAACAATCGGAACGGGCGCGTGGTCGGTTCTAGGGGGGTCGTCTGTGATAGGGGGAGGGACGGCCGCAGTCGGGGCGGCAATGGGCGAATTCACTGCTTCGAGCTCCCCAGGTGAGGTGAGCGATGTTTGAGCGTCCACTGGGTCCTGAAGCTCTGCGACTGGAGTAATGGTACCAGTCCTCAAGACAGCGGTCACCTGGACTCCCACTGGCTGATCGGCACTGATCTCATTTTGCAAGCCCGAGGCAGCAGGAGATAGGACCCGCGGTGTCGGTGAAGCAGCAGTAGGAGGGGGGCGGGCTTCTTGTTCTGAAGTCGGTGAGTTGAGGGCATCTTCGCGGGGGTGCAAGCTAAGCCTAGAGATTCCTGGGGGTGACTGAATGCCTTGGGTTGTAATAGCGATGTCTGCGTTGTGTGGATCAGGGGAAGGTAGTGTGGGCGATGGTGGCTGAACAGGCTCTGCAGAACCCAGGTGGTCGTCATTAGCATTTAATGTCGAAGGCGAGGCTAGAATGACTGAGCTATCCGGTGCTGCAGTTGCCAAGTTGTCAGGTGGTAAGGGCTCCAACGGCACCAGATCTTGCATGGTGGAGGCCCCTAGGGCAGATGAGTCCATCGATTTCTCCGAACCAGTAGCACTTTCCGTTTCAACAACCTTTTGGGCTGCCGTAGCAGTAGGGGCCAGTATATCGCAATGTGACGATGACGACGAGCGCGCCCGTGGGCTGCATCCGTCTTCCCTGCCACCGAGCGATGATCGCTGCCGTGGCCCCGGTGTCGGCGGCGCTGGCGGTTCCGAGGGAGTGGAAACAACCCGATGAGGCGGAGGGGATGGAGGAGTGCTCTGCTTATCCAATAGCAAATCAGAATGCAGGATCTTTGGCGGCGGTGGACAGTCGACATTCGATTGTATGTCTTGATGTACCATCGACCGGGGTTCTTCGGCTGCGAGAACACGCCGATTGTTATCAGGAGCGAAAACAGAGGTGATTGGTTCGCAATAACTGGGGATGTGAGACCGAAAGGGTCGTTCTTCTGTAACATGTTGCCTTCTCGCCGTTGGCCGCTCCCTGGTTGGCGACACACGACTTGCCGCAGGAGTCGGTTCCTCTTTATCCCGCAAGGGTATAGGAAGGGTAAGGCGCGCCTCTGTACGAACCTCGGAGGACTGTTTGCGCGGCTTTATTCCCGGACCTATCAACCCACTGAACTGCGAGGATGGATCTTTGGATGGAGGTGAATCCCAGCTATGGTCGGAACCCGAGTGGGGGTCCGACTGACGCTGGCGCTTCGAGGGATGTGCTTCGGGACCCATCCTGAGCGACGACTCTGAATAAGAGTCGCGTAGAAGAGGTCCAGAGATAAGGGAAGGTGTGATGGGAGTGCGGGGCGCGGGGGCCTGGAGATGGGTCCGAGAAGCTTCATGGGATGGACGGAAGAGCAGTTCAGGGCTCCGTCGAACGGTAGAGCGAGAGGTGTCTGCCTTGCGATCGAGACTGGCCTTGGCCTCCAGCCTATCCCGCTCTGCTGTGGCGGCCTGAACAAGGGCCTCAAGCCCGCCCAGGGGAGACTGTTGTGGAGAAACGGGATTTAAGAGGGCCTGCGGAAATGAGGAGGTGGTGGAGATACGAGAGAGTGAGGTGTGGTGCATTGAGGACGAAGGAGTAGGTTCTGTATGATTATTGTGGCGAGGGAGTCGAAGGGTCGGGGAAACAGTGGGTTGAAAAGGGAGGTCATACTGAGACGCGCTCGAGGATGGAGGGGAGTGATAGTATCCTACGGGGGACAGGGCAGGGCGTTGGGTGTAGAGGAGAGGAGAGCTGGGTGAGTGGATTGAAGGTGGGCGGGAAAGGGAAAGGGTGGGAGCAGGAGAATCAGAAGATAGGCGCATTGTGTGGAAGGGAGATTGAGAGTACGAGAGACGGGGCGATG